CGACAGAGCCATAATCACAGATAAAACAATTTACCACAACAGACCAGACATCACACTCATTGACAAACACAATAAAATCACATACGTTATAGACATAGCCATTCCAAACACTCACAATGTACAAAACACATGCACTGAAAAAATTAGCAAGTACACAGAACTCACCCAGGAAATAAGGCATCTGTGAAGAATGGCTAGGGTTCTTATACCTGTCGTTCTCTCCTCTACAGGTGTCATATGAGCACATTACCTGAGCACATTACAATTGAACAGAAACACACACATCACACTACAGAAGGCCGCTATATTGAATACATGTCATATTGTTATAAAATTCCTGAATACAGACACACACACTGATACGGTTTTTTAATTTTTGTTTTATTTTGGTTACTATGCCTTGACTCTGGTCCAGCATAGTACACTGCCACTGGTGTCAACTGAGTATAACTCACAAAACCCAACATAATAATAATAAGCACAGAGCTCAAACGGTTAGGAGTTGAAGGTTGAAATTTGGTACATAGTTAGGGTACATCACAAGAATATACACTAAGGGGTTTTTCGAAATTTCCCCTGTGGAGAGAGGTTGTTAACACTTCCCTGCGGGGGGAAGTGTTAATAATGGAAGTGTTAAATAACAATGAAAGAGTTAAGAGAAAGCAATGTGCAAGATTTACAGGCGCAGATAGTTTTTTGCATTTTTGTGAGAAATCGAACATATTTTTAGACCCATCTAAAAATTTTCTAATTAGTCTGGAAACAGAAGGACCTAATTCTTGTATTCTGTGAAAATGGGAAAGATTGGCGGCTATAATGTAATAATCTTAATCTTCGCTATCATTACTTTTTGCCCAAGCAACACCAGGCTTATCTGCTAGTCTCTCTCTATATATATATATACAGTAGAACCTCGATTATCCGGACCTCTATTATCCGGATTTTCGATTATCCAGATTGCTCAAAATAAACAAAAATTTTGTGAATTTGCTGATTTGCACTTGGCGAATTATGACACTGTTTATGTACGTGATGGAACGCATAACTTTTTTTGTTTCAACAACACCCAGTCCATGTCTCACCCAGTAGTCGTAAACTTTTAAATATATTTTACATCTTAATAAAAATATAACTTGACATACGTATTTATAAATAATTTATACTCAAATTACATCATTTCTATAACCAAGGGCAGCGTAAGGCACAGGCAACGTGGGCCATTACCTATGCCTCGCGGTCCGAAGGGCCTCACGCCTTAAAGGTTTATGCATTACTTAAAAGCCGAGAATGCAACGAAAAAATTTTACTCGTCATAAAATGATAAATAGTTTGTCAAATTTTTATTCATAAAAATGCAGTTTCAACTGCTTTTTATTTTATAAAATCCGTATTCTTGAGCTGCCAAAGGGCCTTTTAAACAATAGCTAGTCTGTTAGCGCTGGTCAGTAGTAGTCCAAATTCAATAAAACATTTGTTTCTTGAAAATTTGCTCACGATTTAAATACAGTATTTATTTTTAATATTACGGATATGTCATCGAAAAGAAAACGTGTTGTATTACCATTAAAAGACTAATTAATTAATTAAAGTATTTGTTTCGATTATCCAGATTTTTCCTTATCTGGACAACCTTCATCCCCAATTAGTCCAGATAATCGAAGTTCTACTGTACATAAATGGACGTGTGTATCCCTATATTTCACTTTTCAGCCAAAACTACACATCGCACATGAATGGTGTTTGTATGTGGCAGTAGCCCCAAGTCTCCATTCGTGCACTATGGTGGTTGCATCTTGATAGCTATAAGGGTGCGGGAGATATGGGGGCTTAAAGTGGTTGACTTCGAAGATTTTCTATTTCAATTTTAAAAATGTTCGAACCATTTTAAATTTGAATTTGTATTCAAATTCAAATTCGAATTGGTTCAATTATAGAATGATTGTAAACATTCCAGAAAATTGATCAAATTGAAAATAGTTCATTTGACTGGATGTAAAAATTCTCTAATTAGTCTGGAAACAGGGGACCTAATTCTTGCATATGGGGTTGAAAGTGGTTGACTTTGAAGATGTGTAACAATGGAAGTGTTAAGTAACAAAGGAAGTGTTAATATAAAGCGGCATGCAAGATTTACAGGCAGTTTTTTGCATTTTTGTAGGAAATCGAACATATTTTTAAACTCATGTAAAAATTCTCTGGTCTGGAAATGGGGGACCTAATTCTTGCATGCTGTGAAAATGGGTAAGATTGGCTATAATGTAATTATCTTAATCTTCACTATTGTTACTTTTTGCCCAGCGAAGTGGATCCTTGCAGCTAGTATTATATAAAATGACAATGTTTAATCAAAATCAACCAATCAAATTTTGAGAACAAACTTAATTCTATACGCCATATAGAAGAGGCTTTTCTAATGCTCTGCCTCAATTATTTAATTGAATCATATAGAGTTATTTTTTTTAATTTTAATTTCTTTCCAATCAACTGAGTTTTATCATTTTTTTCTGAAATTCTAGAAATGTATTATCAACACTTGAATGCTTCACTAATGTGATTATTAATTAATATAATTATTGCATAATAATATTGATAAAGGATAAAAAATTTTATTGAAGAATAAAAAAATCATAATAAATAGCATCAAAAATAATTCCTCTGCTTTTAAAGATATAATATTAAAACAACATTTAGATACAGCATACCTGTATATAGAGTTTTTCATTTTCTTCTATTTTATTTCTAAGTTCTAAATTTAATACATCTTCATCTAAAGAAGGTACAACTACCTTATGCTAAAATTAAAGAATAATACAAAATATTTATTACATTTCATTAAAATTAAATTATTTATCAAGAAATTATGAAATACAAAAATTAATCATGGAAAAAAAAATCATTTATGGAGCAATGCTTAAAAAATGTTTTTCTCTATTAAAAGGAGGAGAATTTCTAAGTTTAAGCTGAACATAATTTGCATGTTGACCTGTAGCTACAATTTAAAATCTATCTGACAAATGCCTATCCAACATTTTTATTCACTGGATATATTTTTACTGTATTATTAAATGTTTTAAGTTTTATTTTATTCTTATCTTTAAACAACATTTTATAAAGTTAAATGTAATTTTGATGTTCAAATTCATTACATATCATCAGAATTTCTTTATTTGTTCTGTGTTTGAATCTGTTAAGTGTTCAATCTAACAATGAGACAAACAGCCTCAAAAAATGTTTAACTGAAAATAAATAAGTTGACTCCTTGAATATATAACAATTCTGTGAATTAAAAAATTAATAAAATCAATAATGAAAATGAATATGATGATATCAAAAATTAACATTTCCATACTTTGTTTTTTGATGATTTATCAGAAATTCCTTCAAATTCACTTTGTAAGACAGAAACTCGTTTCATTAGTTGCACATTTCTAAAATTTAAGCATTCTACTTCTTGCTCTAATTTTCTCACTGTTTGATCCTTTTCCTTGAGTGCTTCCTGGAATAAATTTATATAAAATATAATTTTTAATATTTTTGAAAGATGCATATTAGAAATTAAACTGAAAATGATTATTATAAAATATAATTAATATTTAATAATAATAATTTTTCAATGAAGCCATTAACTATCAAGCATAAATTTCTAAACCAATCAACATTACTTAATAATCAATTTCTGTTTATGATCATCTCAAGTGTTACTATCACAATAAACTATTCAATCTCTGGCCTTATCTTGACAGAAATGATTACCTAGATGGAAGATTGCGGTTGCAACTGTTTCCACCAGTAACATTTTTAAAGTTTATTTTTCCTCAATAAACTATTTATTAACTAATGTGTCTCACAGTTTGCCAATGAGGACTATCTTCATTCCCATATCCTAATTAATCATTAATTTGCTTCATCTTACCTTTTAATAAATGCATCTTACTTTTAGTGAAGTTTTCTCAGTAAACTTAATATGTACAGGCAGTCATGTAGCAAGGAATAAATCATTGGGGACTACAGGGGTAAGCCAAAAAAATTATGACTGGTATTTTTCTCTTTCCCAAACAAGCATTAAGCCTATTAGTTACAATTCAAGTATAAAAAAATGTAACAGTAGCCTAAGTTTACATGATGAAAGCAAAAGTATATACTAAATATGAGCACTGCTGACTAAAAATATTCTTAAAAAAGTGTTTTTTGAATTAACATTTCCATAACTAATCAACTGGAAATATGGTATATACTGTATATGACTTTATTGCATCACATCAAAGCTAAATTAAATTTCATTTTCTAGAAATTTTAAAATATATATTTCATTTCTAGTAGTAATAAAATATCCTTTAAAAGTCAAGTTATGACATTAACAGTCAACTCATTGACATTAATACTGATAAAATTACTGATAAAATTACTTGTAAAACACTTAATTAAAGCCAAATAATTGCCAGATTAGATTGGGCTTTATTACTGCTATTATTAATTAATAATTAAATACTATGTAATTTGGCCTAGAGATAGGCATTATGCACCATCTCTTATTAAATTTAATAATTATAATTAAATCAATATTTATTAATTTTTATCTAATCTGGCAATAATTTGATTTTAATATAACTATTAAGATTACATATGTTTATATTAAAATGTCTAAATTTTAGATTGAAAGTTACAGATATTCTTAAGGAAGTCTTGTTGTTTTAAATAATTTCACTTTAATTACATTTTAATACACAAATTTATATCAAAGTTTTTTTGAAAAACCTGTTAAGAAGAATATCTACATTTGTTTTAGTGAAAATAATATACTGGATTGCTGGAATATCTTTATTGCTATAAAAATAGTTGGTAAACACCTTGCTATATTTTAAGCAATTTTGATACCATGCAGTATACAAATTTCCATTAAAGTTTTCAGGCAGATTTTTGCAAAAATTTTACTAAGTGACCATCAAAATTATTTAAAAAACAAAGTCCTTTTCAGACCTTCTGTTCTTTAAATAGTCTGAAAGAAATGGTTTAATATTTATAACAACAGTAATTTAGTAATAAGAATGTAGCAGTGTTAAAAAGATACTGTTTTTATACATTTAATAAATTGTAGAAAATTATATGTTAATTAGAAATGATAACATATGCAGTCATTGTAGCATTAATGAATTTACCCATTATTCTGAGTTAATATACACGTGCCATCTGATGTAATCTAGATATAAATATTTAAAAGTCAATTATAAATTCTTTTAGGTATTAATGGTAGTTTCATTCACTTTCTGTTCTCATCTCATTATCTACATTTTGTAAACAAATTTTTTTGTTTTCAAAACCATTTAAGTTCTTTTAACTATTCTCATTCTTTGATATTATTTTAACACTCATATGAACTTCATTTTGAAAAGATACATTCTACAAAAGTATGTCTTCAAATGTAATTATGAGAATAAGAATCATCATAATGTAGAATTTTATAATCTTTAAAGTAAAACCTGAGAGAAAAAGAATATTTAATTCAAATTCAAAATGATTTTCATGTTATGATATTTCCTGACAACTATCTAAATCCAATTTGACTGTAAATAAATGTTAGTTCTGATTTAAAATATTTAATCTGTATAATTTTAATTAAAATAATGCCGCTTTAATATAGTATTTATTAATATTATAATAATAATTATTATTATTACATCCAAAATATTACAACAATCTGGTTAAAATACTCTTTGGTAAAGTTTAATATTGAGGATTATTATTATTAAAAACAGTCCTGAATGATTTTTAACATCACAATGCATATATAAATTAGAGGAAAATATGGGAACTGTTTTGGCAGGAGTATGTTCCAAGGGCGATAATTTATTTGTCATTTAGGGAAATAAATATTACATCTTGTTAAAATGATACATTTTCATACAAACCCCATCTTAAGATATTTAAATCTACATACAATATAATTTTTTTTCTAACAGTTCCTGGTACATCTAGAAAACATTTCCCCATTCAGGATAAATAAATATAAAACTTTTTATGTATATATATTTATATATACTGTATTTCTATTGTCGTTTAAAATCACTAGAATATATTTTTGCAATTTCTCAACTATCGTAGTCGTCTTCGTCCGTCATTTAAATATCCATTAGTGGACGGCCACAGGATTCGCAACATGTTGAATACACTCAGGAGGCATGGCAACTCTTAAGCCCTTGTCACCTGGTCAAGTAGTCAAAGAGTCTCATACTATCGCNGAGAGAGAGAGAGAGAGAGAGAGAGAGAGAATTTTTTAGTAACTTTTTGAATTTTTCACAATGTATATTGTATAATTTTATCATCAGTACTTTCTGAAATGTGAATTACCCTATATTTTTGTGTTAAGAGAAAAAATAATAATAGTAGTAGTAGTACATAAACTATAACTAAATCAACACCTGTTCACTCGCTGAGAGATTTATTCTTAACACAAACGTTTTCAATCCAATCAATGGATCATCTTCAGGTAATTAGAACATTTCAAAAAATAGAACAACAAGTTCAAAATACAAAAAATATAAATATTAATAACGGATAACCAATATATTACTAACAGCAAAATAACGTTTTTAAATAATATAATTAATACAAATGCTGCTAAAATTATAAATAAAAATAAAATATTAAAATATAACAAATAAATTGTGTATACAAAATATTAATACTTCAAACTTAATAGACAAATCGATAACACTATATATTAATAATGCTTAATAAACTGTACGGAGTTTCTCAACTAAACTATACAGAGTTTTTTATATACATAATATTAAAGCTCCTGCTCTTATTTGAAGTTTTTAACTGCAAACTTCCATGCGGAAGGAAGTCCCTCGGCATCCCTTGCGTTGATGCAATTCCCTTTAAGTTTGCTTTTATAAATTTCTAATTTTTCGGCCGTTTTTGCCAAGGTCGGGGAGTGTATTTGTTTCAGTATATCTGCTTCATTCCATCTTACTATCGAACCCTCCGTTTGCGCCATTTGAGACAATACTGTGGCATTCGAACCTTTTCTCACATCATATCTGTGCTCTTTTATCCTTACCCCTAGATTTCTAGTAGTAACCCCAACATATTCTTTATCTATTCCTAACATCTGATTCTCGTATGGGATCTTATATACACCTGACCTATCCTCTTTTTTAACTATCCCTTTATCATTTCTAAGTATTCTGTACAAATTCGGAGCTCTTTTTAAGACTATTCTTGTAACTTTTTTATTTGCGATTTCTTTCATAATGCTTCCTAAGCGCTTGTTGTACGTAAATTTCGTGTATGTAGA